GACTTGACTTGACATGAACAGACTTGACTTGACTTGACTTGACTTGACTAGGCATGAACTGACTAGGCATGAACAGACTTGACTTGGCATGAACAGACTAGACTCACCGACAGCGGGTTACAACTTCAATACACGACGAAAGACAATGGCAACATGAGGGCTACTTATAGCAGACAAGAGGGTCACATGACAAGAACAAACCTATGGGAAACAAGACACATGACTAGGACAACCAATCAGAACATGACACAATGAACAAGAGAACCAATGGCATGAATACATGAGGGCAAGGGAAGCATGACACAAACAGGGTGAAACAATTACAAAATAAAAGACATGTAAACATGAACATGAACCAAAACCCAAACTCCACATTACAGGTTGACACAGATTTTGGACTCACAGAGATTTTGGTGAAAACATAGAGAAACAGGGAGAGCACAGAGAGGTAGATACGGATCCGCTGCCCACCAAAGCGTTTCTTCAGGTACTCTGGCAGGGTCACGACCTGCAGATAAAGAGAATTAAGTGTACAAAAAATGATACTGCAGAGAGATAATGTGGTCGACACAGTCATGTTGTGCAAGTCAGCAATATCTAAGTCAAGTCACCTTTATTTACATAGCGCTTTATACAATACAGATTATGTCAAAGCAGCTTTACAGTGTTAACAAATGTAAAAAAGTTTGTTCTGCAATGCCGGTTAAACAGGAAGAAATGTAAGCATACCCCAGCCTTAATGTAGATGGGCACGAAGAGCCATCCCAGAATAATCACTACAACAAGAGCCTGAGGAAACAAATGAAAAAGAGAAAATCGGTTTGATGTTTTCTAGACATATTCTCATCAGTGTTGTTAGTGTTAACTAAAACTAAAACTATTAAAATCATTTTTGTTAATTGAAATGAAACTATAAAATAAAATATAAGATAAAAAAATGTATGAAAAAATGTGCTTACATGACTAAAACTAAAACACAAATAGAAAAAAAACAAAGCTAAATAGAAATATCTAAGAAAATAAGAATGACTAAAATATGAAAAATTAAATACCAAATCTTAATAAATAGTATATAAATACTAAAATAATACTGATTACACCAATTCATTTGTTCTTTGATATTTTATTAATATCTTACCTTAATGATTAAATATTAGTTCTTCAAATTGGACATTTTTATAATTATATCAATAAAAATACAACAATGTCTCTAGTCATATTGTCTCCAATCTCTAGTCATACTGTAGATTTATATGCAAAATACTTACAGAATATTATTTTTCTTTTTTAATGACCTATAGTCATAAACAGTAGGCTTAAAACATGAAATCCTGCCACATATCAAAAATATTAAATATCATAGTTATAATGTTATGTTTTTTAAACATACATTCCACTCAAATCCTCCAATAGCAATACCAGCAGCTGCTCCAGTTCCTGCTATTCCCACAAAATGCCCACTTCCGATGTTACTTGCAAAGAGAGAGGCTCCAATCTGGGGGGGAAAATGTAAAAACAATCATATTAATATGTGCTTTATAATATATTTACTAATATACACACATTTGATATTCATATAAGGGTTTAAACTGAACAGAAAATTGAATCTAAGTCATCTGCTACATTTTTGAATGTCAGAATGGTTACAAAAGTGTATTCACTTATGCTTCAGAATATATTAAGTGCCTACTGTTTGACTATATCTGGCAATACAATCACCATAATAATAAGCTATAAAAACTACTTCTTCTGCACAGCCAGAGGTGTAATTCAAACAATAACAATTGCAACAATGAACTTTGTAATAACAAATAAAAACCTTAAAAAATTTGGTATAAGGTGATAACTTTAGCATGGACCAAAGCATGACAGCTCTATACAAACTGCATGAGCAAACCATATCAGTACTTTCAGCTGTAATGAATTGTGGGTCGCATCTGGCATCAGTGCATTATGGCCCCATAAAAGATTTAATTCACCCTATTATGATATCAAGGTTCTGAAATTGAGGGGCAGTTAGGGTCATTATCATGCCATATTTGTGATAATGTGAAATCACTCGTCATGCTATTATACATAATCAGCTCCTACTTTTATGGCTGTTTCAGTCTTGCGTAGCACATTACGACAGAAATTTGCCACATTTAGCACAATGATCGATCACTATTGATGTAGTATATGATCAAGCCATGTCATTTTGTCAATGTCCATCACATTCTGAGTACAAAATAAAGATGTGCGTATGATGAGCTTTTGGAAATTATGGATCACGCCACTGCGAGGTTTTACTTGCCGTGAAGCGGTTGAAGAAAGTGATGTCGCGGAATATCTCGATGAACGTTATTTTTCTGGCCATAACCCTCAGGGAACCATGGTTACATAAGTAACCTGAGATGTTTTATCACGAAATCCCGTAAATGTCAATGCCTGCAATAAGACTTATTAAGATACATTAAGGTAATTAATATGTAAATTAATTTGTAAATAATTTCTAAAATATTGCAATTCATTTCTAAAAATGTGTCAATAATTTCAATTTCATTTTTTTTTTAAACAGATACAAGTATCATTAATAGTTACTTTCAATCACATATGAAGAATTATAACAAGAAATGTAACATTGGAGCAATTAATTTTGCTAAAGGATTTAGGGTTTTTTTTGGGGGGGGGATGCTTAATATATTATAATGCAAATAATATAATGTAAAAATGCATTATATTATATTTTATCTGAAAAAAAAAAAAAAAAATTTTCTAAAGGATTTTAGCATTTTTAACAAAACAACTTGAAAAACTGCAGTATATTATATTATATTATTATTATTATTTTCATCAGTTTTTCTAAAGGATTTTGCTTTTTTTTTTGCAAAACAACTTGCAAAAATGCATTTTATTATTAACTTTCTGCGAAATCAGTCACCATCCTCATTCTGTCTTCAGACTTATCTCACACAGCCATTGTACATTTATATGTTGATGCAAGGTTAACAATTCACAAGTCTGTCAATGGTAGAAAAATCTTTTACAGGTGGATAGAAATTACTGACCACTTACCCATATTTCCACAGCCAGAACCACCAGAAAATATATAACAATCACTGAGATGTCCGCTGGATTGTTAACATATATGGTGACGTTTTTTCTGTTCTCATTGCGAACCCAAGAGAATCCAAAATAATCTTCGCCCATTTTGATGGTTTTCGAAGGGGGCCGGAGGAGCAGCACACTGCGTCCCTCTCTGACACAACGGTGAAGACACCTGGATCAGACGCTCACCTGCAGATGTGTGACCGTATGTGCGTGTGTACACGTTTACTTATATATGTGCGTCTAGAGATGGGTGTGACCTTCTCAGAGTTAATTATAAAAGTGTGTTTGTGACTTAGAGTTGTCAAAAATCTGAGATTGAGAATCATTAATGATCAACTTATAGCAGGACTTGTGAGACTGTGTTCCTGTAAAGCCTAAGAGGACATCTCAACAGTCACATCACCTGCATCTTAATTATTGGGTTTCACTGAGTCAACTAGCCTATGTCAAGTAAAGATCCACTACTGCAAACTATGGTCCAGACATTAGTGTATATACTGTAACATTGGTTATAAGGACACCCTGAGGTGCTACATGGCATTGCAGCTTAAAGACAAAAGAAAGTGAAAATGGCTGATCAAACATTAAATTACAGCCATTATACATTTAGGGTTCAGGAGCATTTAATGGACCTCCTTAAGTGATTCTATTGGCTGAGAAACTTGGGTACTCTGTTGCCTGATTATAGCTACCAAAAACTGCTTTATAGTGTATTTATTCTTAATCATAATTGCATAACACATTAAATTGCCACAGCTAAAAATGGTGAAATTAAACATTTCAGGCTTTAGTTAGCAAGCTAACCGTTTAGCTTACTAGCTTAGCATAGCAATGTATGATAAGGTGACCAATGCCACTTCCCGGGGACACGTTCAGCACAGGATTTCGAAATAACCAGATTGTTTGCTCTGTGCCGATCGATCATTATATGACATCAAAGTACCGCGAGAGCGAAATCATGTGCTGAATGAGTCCCCGTGAAGTGGCACGTCTGGTCACCTTAATGTATGAAGCACAGGTTACACAAACCAAGCTGCTTTTTTTTAGTCAACAAGGCAAATTTGAGTGAAAAACTTGACCCCAATGGGAAATCTGTGCTGGGAAATCATTCGCCCTTATGTGAAATTGCCTATCACATAAATAACCATTGAAACGACTGGATTTTGCCTGCAAGAGCAACAGTTAATTTGACCATAAGACCCAAGACCTTGTAGCGACTACTGTTTCTACAGCCAGCAAATAAAAAAATAATTAATTAATTATAAACATAATATAATAAAACTTTGCAATTGGAATCTTTTTGGAAATACAAAGCTATTTTGCATGTTTGTCAGTGGAGAAAGAGTTACGGCATGTGTTAGCAGGAGCTCACAGGAACATCAGCCAAATCTTGACCCCTTAAATCCTGGAAGAGTTAACATTTTTGACAAAGTGTAACTTTCATTAAAAAAAAAAAAAACTTTGAATTTATCCTCCACATACTTGCAATGCACCAACCCGATCAGAATCAATGGATTTGTAGCACTTTTAGCTGCAAGTGTCAACATGATTATTAGGCTTGAATGTAAGATTTACTAATGACTAAAGATGATGTCTTTGTTGTTGAATCGTCATTCTTGGGTGTATCACCAAGTAAACCGCCTGAATTTCTGACACTATATTTTAGTTCATGTGATAACCACGTTATTCTTTAGAGACCTGGTACAACACACTGCGAAGCTGAAGGATCAATCATTAACCAATCATGAATTAAACATTTTCAGGTTCAGATAGATGCATGCATGTCTTGTTGGTTATATCATGATACCTCTTGTTCAGCATCCAAATCTCAATGTCTATGATGACTTTATAGTCTACTCTCTTTTAGTCCAGACAGTGATAGATTACTTTTGAAGGTGCGCAGATTTAAGTTAAAAACAGATCATATGGCACAAGGTGTGGTCGAGAAAGAGTCATATCTCATCAGGGCCATGAACATTTATCTTACATTTAACACTTGACCTTCTGCACGGCCTTCATCATATTCACTTAACTATACTATTATAAATCGATCATACAATGTAACTCCTGCATATCACTATTTATGGTGTATTTACAGTATGGCATCTCTGACAGAACATTTACATAATCAAAAAGAGCAAGATTACAATGACCAAAGAGCCGGTGACTAATGGGTTTCTCAGAAACTGAGCCAAGATATTATTTACATTTACTTTACAATTACATTTAGCAGACGCTTTTATCCAAAGCGACTTACAAATGAGGACAATAGAAGCAATCTGTTGTCATTTTTTATAATACATAAAAAGAAAACAAGTATATAGAATAGAATTCTAATAAATACTAACATAATCAGAAGTGACTTTATGTTCTTAATGCCCATTCTTGGCCTTATTGTGCACAATTCATTGGGAAAAAGATTAATAGCAATCTTCCATCAACAAGCTCTGACCCAAAACAACTTTCCTAAGCAGAGGATGTTACATAGGCTGCACAGGCTAATGAATGTGTTAGTTTCATGTGGTTCTGAAAAACTTTTACAACATTTTAAAAATGCCATGTGGTGTAGCCATCAAGTAAAAGTACCAAACTTTCCTTTCATCATGAATACATGTGAGTGGACACGTCTTAGTCATTGTTATTACAGTTATCATTATTAGGGGTTCAGCGCGTAGCGCAGTTTTTGCAGTAAAACTGATTGTGAAGACCAAACCATAAGGCCTAGAGAATTGAAACTTGGTCAGATGGTAAGAGCTCAATTTGGGAAGAGACTGGCAAAGACTCAACCTGATTGGCCAATAGGGGGTGCTACAGCGATCGAAAATGCGAAATCGCTCATAACTCCTAGACCGTATCATTCATCATATCATTGGAATCCTTGGCTCAAGGCTATCTCCAAGTCACATGACAAAAATCGTGGAGTTTGGCCACTAGGTGGCGCTATAATAGTAAAAAGCATAAAAATGTCTATAACTCAACCATTAGTCCAGTTGACTTGAAAATTGGCATACACCGTCTTTGTCGAAATTGCCACAAGTGACAATGAAGACATTTGCATATCTCAAAAAACATGGCCACCATCGGCCAATGAAGGAGCACCTATTAGACAAGGTTAACGGAGGCTGATTGGAACGAAAGTCAGTGGGCCCAGAATGTCTGTGAGAAATTTGAAAGAAATCAGCCACCAGGAGTCATTAACGAGTCTTACGTCTCTGTAATCACGTGCCATTTCACATTTACACACAATATTTATATCATATGATATAGCTCCTCATTCTGAACAACTTTGCCTCAAGAACCTTCATTCTGAACAACTTTGCCTCAAGAAACCCTACTGTCAATCAAATCGTTTGTTAAATATTTGAGATTATGTGAAAAACCTACTTTTGCGAACAAGTCCTAGGT